TGGCCTTGTTCGCATAACAAGTTCCGCTTCCGGCGGAGATAGATGCTGCCGAACGGGATCAACCGCTCGGATTCTGCCTTAGGAGACGCTACTTCATGGAAATCGATATGCAGCCCGGTGGCGGTGTTATAACAAACTTTTCCGCTCAACAGTTCACCGTTGTCCAGAATGTCTACTACGATATTATCAGTGTTTCCACCGCGTCGCACGGTACAGAAGGATTTAATTGGTTTAGGAAAACGAACTGGCCAGCTGCAATGCGATTTCCGTGCTAATGGACGAGCTCGTTCCGGTCGATAAGTCCGTCGAGATAAATGTTTCGGCATTTTTTTCTATCGGTGCAAGATATTATGGATGTTGGGCGATTCACCAGCTCGTACAAAATCTTCAAAATGGGCTATAAATTGTCAAACTTGCGAGTAGTACCTGCACGATGTGCCATCTATGTACATAACTCGATTACCAAAGTAAAAATGTCATGCAAAGAAGAAAATCGAATGGTGCGAAGAAACTGGTGTATACCACATAAATCTAGTAGCGAAGTAAAACTCTCGAATTCCGGGAGATTGACCGATCGGCCCTGGAAACAATGCGATTTCGTCGTAAGCAGAATGCAGTGCACGGTGTACAGCTCAGTGGTTACAGGATGCCAAAATGTGCCACCGTGACCGAAACTAAATCCGGCTCTGTGCTTCCTTTACATTCTGCAAATATCAGTGACCTCGCTTTCAGGATGCTCTGCATTACGTATCACCGTAATGTCAATGCAATGGAGCGGATTAAACTGGAATGGAACGGATAACTGTACGTCGGCTATCGCCATTGTAAAAAAGTTGGGCAAAAGACTGCAGCAGCAAACGGGAGAGCGTCGATCGCATGAATTTCTGCGTCTACGACTATCGCTGGAAATTCAGCGCGGAAATGCAAGTGGATGGTTTAAATAAATTAATTTTGCTGTTGTGAGTAATATCATTTTTTTATTTTTCTTCCACCTGATCTGTGCGTTGATTATTAATAAAGAATGTCATATAACTGTACACCGATGCTCTTGAGCTGTACTTATGTAGAATTTATGCTGATTTTTAAGTCAGGGCTACAGACTGTATATCATTGATTTGCAATAATCTAAGTTCACGAAATATTTGTCAAAAATGCTGCATTGTTGTATCAATATCTGGTGGTGCAATAAACTGTGCAACATAAACGGTGGCAGATTAATACTCGTATATTATGTATTACGCTATGGCGGAAAACACCAACAAAAGACCGGATAAACCTGTCCGGACTTAATTTTACTACTTATGTTACTGAATGATTTTATTCGGGAAAAAGCCAGTTATGCAGTTAACATTACAACAAGCCGGCGCTGATAGACACTAATGAAAACATCAGTTTTCGGTTCATGTTATTTGTACTAGCACAGATACAGAGTTCGAGTGGTGATGCTACGGCGGGTAAAGGTACGGAAAATATCAGAGCAATACTTTATCTTCGTTTTTGTAAATTCACGGTTACAAATGGCACAAATATCCGTATGTTAATGTACCATCAATCAAAATACAGCCGATGTGCTTACTATCTAGTATCCAGACGAAGCACCATTCCGTTAAAACAGTTCGCAGCCTCCATGCAGGTACTTTCATCAAAAAGGCTGCTAAATCTGCCCCCTGTTGGGCGTTTGGAACCTGTTTGCAATTATGAATTGTACCAGTAAAAAAATAACGCAAGTAAACAAACACCAAATAACGACTTCATGAAACAAATACTTGTTTCAGGAAGTCGTTATTTGGTGTTTGTTTGTTTGTTTGTTTGTTTGGTGTACTCTAAATTAGCGTTTGCCAGTCAAGCAGTTAAGATCTTCGCGAGAGCCGGAAGGTCATCACCACGATAGCTCGCTGGTTAGCGTAAATCGTCGAAACCGCAGCTCGCTTAACAGAGCGTGCACCGTGAAATGCGTCAAATTTTTCACGTCCAGGTGGGATAGGAAGTCGAAGTTTGTCTCTGTCGGCGCCGGAAACAACAGGTGACTATACTGGTTGTTAGCGCGTGGGTCCGGCATCTGTATTTGTACCAAAACCTAAAAAACTGTTTGTTAAACGATGTCTTTGTGCAGATGAGTTACGGTATGCATTCCCGTTAACAGAAAATACAGCTGAACAGAAAAGCGATCCGCAACTCATTTCATCTGTTTTCCAGGAAATCAGCATTACTAAATACATTACTAAACGATTTGCAATGGGGTCATCAAAACAAGACTGGTGTTAAATCGCTCCAGTGTCAACTTTCAAAATTCGATATGTACTGCAGCATTTATCTTTGCTAGAAATCAGGAAACTGACCTGCATTTTGCGCCTGTATCGCGAGGTATCCTCCCGCTGAATGGTCTCACGAATCCAGGTGGCGATAGTCGCCAGATCATCGCCCGTTGGGATCGGGAAACTGTCATCGATCAGACCCCATAAATCGTCCAAATTCAGCGACCGATCACTTCGGATGAGCCCTTGGGTGATCAGCACCTGAAACTGCTGGCTCTTGTTCAAACTTAGCAAATTAACGGTCAGATTGCGGATCACCAAGGCTTCACAAACGGATGTGAAGGCAGTCAGTTCCGCATACAAGTCGAAAAGGAACTCCGAGATTGGGCTTTCTTTGAATTTTCCACTAAACACATTCCACTGCTGATTATGGAGAATGACATTTTGAGCGGGCTGGTAACCTTTTTCCTGCATAATGCGCTGGAAGACGCCGGCACTGGCGGTTGGCTGTTTGTGTTTGAAGTACACTCGCTGCGGAGAGTTCGTGATGGTGACCAGTTTACTCCAGCGGTGACAGAGGCTGGCGGCGTTTAGATATTCCTCTTCGGCTGCTTCTTCAGCTGACAGATACCCATACTCCAGACTGGTTCGGCTACTTAATATGGGTAACGCCATAATATCATTCCAAGCGCTGCACACGACCCGGATTCGGCACTGCTGCGCAGTATTCAAATATTGGAAGAGCTCCGTAAGGATGGCTATAGGCAACATACCCAAACCGCTTCCCAACGGTTCTGTATCGTCGGTTTTTCGGCGTTTACTCCAGTTCCTATGTTTATCGATAATCTTTTGCTTGAGTATCCGTTGGCGGCATTTCTCTGAACAACTTGTCTGATTTCCTTTTAGCTACGATCAAGCAAAAAATTTGTATAATTAACCTGCAAAACATCTAGCAAGTTATACATACCCTTATAGTGTGGAAATCGCCATCTTTGGCGAGTGTTGCTGAGCTGCGATCAAAGGGTGCATGAATGTGCTTTCCACGAGCAATGGTGGTGACGATCCCATTTGGAAGTGTCACTCGTACCAGTCCGAAAGAGTGCATCGCAAAGTCGCCCATCAGCAGAGTGGCGGGATAACGTTTCCGCGGCTCCTTTCTTCCAAATCTCATTTCAACTTCCGCCGTGAATTCTTCCTTCTGATCTGCATATAGAATAATTGGAGATGATGTTGTTGATTGCTGTTTTAACAATCCAACACATAATCATGCATTTTTATGATAGAAAAGTACTGATGTTTTCGAAAGACCAGAATCTTTCAAATAGTTGAATCGACGTAACTCGGAAAAATGTTAATTTTCAAATGCCTCTTGCGTGCAAGTGTTCAGTCAGTAATTATTCTCAGAAGAATTATTAAGCTAAACAAATCTATTTTCGTGGGTTTTCACGTTATGAAAATTATCCTATGGTGAACGTCTTTACTAACTTTACCGAGCCGGCTGCACAGTGTATGTAAATACCAAATCTGATGGTATAACTCCGGGGTGTAACCTCTTGACCTACCAATTGAACGCGCGTACAGTTGGCCGGTTTGGCCTTCCGCGCACAACAAGTTTGAGCTCTGACGGAGGTAGATGCTGCCGAACGGGATCCGGCGAACCGAACGAATTTGAGCGGTGCTCGCATGGCCAAAATCAATTTCAAGCCCATTTTCGATGAGCCAAGTTCGATAGACTTGTCCACTCAGCAGTTCACCATCAGCCAAAATATCCACCGTCGTAACGCTGATACCCCCGCGTCTACGAATGCAGCATACAACCGAAACGACAGAACGGCTCCAGATCTGTTTTCTGGCCGGGTTGTACTTGGGCCGCCGCTCGGACCCATCAGATTGTGAGTTCCACATTGTCAACCGGCATAAATCCAGGCCGTATACGCAACGTTGAAGATGCGCTCATCCGCATGTGATAAGGTTGTTTCGCGAATGACTTTAAGAGCTACAAGAATAATTTTCTCGTACTACGATCCCTAATATTCTGCACCAACAGTCTAATGTACCGTAGCTAGGGAACCTGATCTGTAGTTACTAACTTACTAATGATATCGCATAATTCAAGAAGTTCGCGACAGTGAAATTATTGTGATTTAGTGTCATACCAGTTGCGAGAACAATTGTGTACTGGTTGCGCATGGTATGTCTGTTGCAGTGAATTTATTAGTGGAGCCGAAATCCGGGTGGCTTCGTGTGCCTTGTTTTTTATGCGGTCGTAAATCGTAATAAGGATTCCGATCAATTTATGTACTTGTGTATCAATCATTTCTCTATTTGTCTTTGTTGAAGATCCTGCAATTTCTGCTCGTGCGCCAATCTAGAGCACATAAAACACTTTCCAGTGCAAAGTGCACATTCAGGATGTGCCGCTCAAGATAAGTCGTTTCGTTAACCCTACACGGCTGCAACGCTTGGAGCATATATGAACCATTATATGAGCATCCTTATTAATTCTTTTTAGGATTCTGGCCATCGTGTAACTCAGGGACTCGCTCGATAATGTGAACAACCCGGCTCGTTGCGGAATAATCACGGAATTAATCAGTCATGAGCGTGTTGTTTAACATAAGCGCTTTCTACAGTATTTTCTTGGATTTATGGACTCTTAAACTTCTTAGGTTACCGTAGCTTACCAAACAGTGACCCTAAGTGGCTACTACTTTACAGGGATTTTGGATTAAGGTCTTTATTTTGGGAGTGGCTTTTGCTATTTACGCAAGGTAATTGGGCGAACGTTTCGCAGGTTGTAATCGTTCTTTCTCGTGTTGAAGGCACCGTTATTTCTGCTCTCGCCGCGCTGAATAAGTAGATTACAATAATACAGAGTCCAAGTAATTTTTTCTACCAGAGTGGTGCTGCGGTGCGAGAGTGGTGCTGCGACATGTATGGTTGGTATCGACCACGTTTCGGTTTCAAAAGAGATGCTTAGTTCGGCATCGATTGGTTTCTCGTCCGTTGATGCCTAATTATCGGTTCGTTTTCGGATGGGGCAACAGCACACCGTCTATTATGTGAACGACTCCGTTGGTAGCGGAAAGGTCACCGAAAACTATGGATGCATCGTCGATCTTGATAGCATCTGCAACGCAATCATGAAAAATGTTATAATAAGAGAAGAAAGATGTCTTAGTCGTACTCTGACTATCGAAGGACACCGTCCAGTTGGCTTTCTTATTCAGTGTCTCCACTTTCAGTTTGTCCACCAGTCCGCGGGTCATCCAGGTGCCGGCACTTGCGAAATGATATTGCAGCACATCTGTTCGACAATCCGACGGTTAATAAAAATCAGCCGAAAGCACCAGCATTTTCATTACCGGTTAGCTGCGTACGGTTGTTTAAAAGTGCGTCCCATGTACCACCTGGCAGTTTCTTGATGGCATCGTTAGTAGGAGCGGCAAAGGTCAGCGGCGTTGATGCTGTAATTATCGATCATTTATTTTCACTAGTTTAGAATAACTGGTTGCCAATAGCGCACTATCAATTCTAGTACAAACAAGATGCGCCTCAAAGTTAAGGTAAAACTCGCAAATGCACAATGTTGGGCGTGAAGCATATTTCCAGGTGAGATGTCAGTGCTTACCGGGGATTGCACCTGTGAGTAAATCAGTCAGGCCAGCCGCATCAATGGCTTTGAGGATTTCCGACAACTCTTCACGCTCTTTGGCGATATCGAGCAATGTGCCACTTTGTATATGTCCCACAACGTTGTTCAATGTGTGAATAACTCCGTTGGTGGCTTCATGGTCGAAAGAACTTATTTCGGCATCGTTGTATAGTTGCACCTAGAAGAATTCCAATGAGGGTAGCATTCAAGCGCTCGTCGTACGACGCTCTGTTCGTTAACTGCGTGAATTTAAAGCAGTTCCTTTAGTCAAGCTTATAAATTTAAAGGGGGAACTTATACTTTACTATCCATTTTTGCCTGTTACATTTTTACTGTATCCGTCGTAATTAATGAATCGGCCAGTTAGTCCATGGCCGGCCAGGGTCTCGAAGACCAATTCATCCTTTAAATCTGCTCGATCCTTCCGTTGATTCAAAATATGATACCTACAGTTAACACGAGGTACCTAAGAAACCAAGTTAGCTTTCAAGAAATCACAGAAAGCGAGTGTTTATAAATGCATCAAAAGTGGGAAAATTTTACAAAAAAATTGTCCGACCTCATTAGCTGCTGGTAAGAAGCTGCATCTTTATCCCAGTGATGCCTGGTGTGTCGATCGACAGCGAGAAAAGCCTCGTTGGTGGGTGCAAAACGGTGAGACCGCCTTTAAGAAAAAAGGCAAGCATTTGTTGTCGTACCAAGCAACGATGTAATTGCTGAAATACATAATATTTGCGCTTATTACTAACTTGAGTTGGTCAGTATATTCAGGCTGCCGGTGTCTTTTAAAGCCGAAAGGTAGCTGGTCAGTCCCATTTCCTTAGCCAGATCCAACAAATTAAGTGTCGGCTTGCTTGTGGTGTTCCCATGATCCGCGTTAATGACTGCGAAGGGAACGATAACGAGGTAAAAAAACGGGAGCATTTTTGCTAGGATATTACGATGACAAACTACACTTTCGGCTTTGTTAGAAGTGACAGGGTAATCGGCAAAACAGTTCTACTTTTATCAATGGCATGGGTGCAGAGTCATGCGGTTTGTTATGTAACTGCAGATGCTTTAAATTGTTGATACATTCTCATGGAGCCTCAGGCTAGAAAACTAATACCGCTCATTAATTACGGTATAACAATGTCTCAAAGATAGACCGCAAAACCGAAAGCATAACGATGCAATAATAACAGCGGTACAGAAAAACAAGCAAGCGTAAAGTTGTAACGCGGTCATCTACTGCATGTAATGCTTTTCGGCCCTCTATAACATACTACAAAAATACGACTCTATAACCGGGTTTGTTTAGTTGAGTACTGACCAGTCAGTAATGGTACCAGGTCAGGACTGATAGCTCTGATTTATATAGCATGGAAGCTAACTGTGCGAACCGGAAAACGCTTGCACATCTGCTGCTGCTGGGATCTGCAGTACAAGTGTGGTTGGACCGTTAGGCGAATGTCTAATACCGCACTTTATTACTTTCGTGACTTTACTACTTTGTTCTCCTTGTTCGCCGGTCAAGCTAACACATTTTTGGATAAAATAAAATTTGGGATGTAAGTCAGCAGGAATATCCGGTAACACAGGCTTACAGAAGTGATTAGTTTTTATGGAACGCAAAACTAGACGCGCACGAGCTGTTGCGTGCCCTCCACTGGGACGCTGACAATGCTTCGAATGGGAATCATCAAGGGAACCAAGCTAAATATGGCCCACTTCATGAGCTGCACTTTCAGGAACATATATATATCTTTATTCCTGGAAGATCAGTACATTTTTAAAATTGTTACCAACCTCACATGGAGGCCGGCGACACCACAAACTGTTAATTAGCATTATATCACCATGGTTCTGCCGCTCAGAGCGCTGTCCGGTACACAGAAAAGTCCACAAAGAGTGACGACGGTACATGTTGGCTCGAATGCTAATCCCGACATAATATCGCTCATATTAGTTTTTCAAAATTTTTGGTTGCAACTGGCCGGAATCCCGTGCTGTAGTGCCAACAAGTCCCACCGAAATCGCATCGTACGCTTATGGACCGTTCTGCTCATTCTCTATTCCGGTTTCGTAAGTTTTCTGTCTGTATCGGCCGTCATTCGGTATGCGGTGGCCTTCAGAAACGCACCGGGTGGAAGTAGCTTGGTGAGTGCCGCTTCCTGGTTGCCGGACTGTGCTAACACGCTGCGCGGGTTTATCACCGTGGTAGTCTTTTACTCCACCTGCACAAAACTGCACAGGATGGTTCGATCGCTAAACAATTTAATTTGTTTGGCGTACGATAAGCCGGAGTTGCTAAATTCGATGGTCGGAAAATGGCGACGCTGGGCAGTTACACTAGGCGTTCTTATGTCGATATTGTCCCTTTTAACCGAGTATGTGAACTGGAAATATTGGTTTAAAACAGTGACAGTAACAAATGGTCAAACGAAAATCTGGATTTTTCAAAAATTAATGATGCTGCAGGAAGGTCAGGCCGTGTTTTGGTGTCTCGGTACCGGCCCCGTTTTCGGCATTTCACAACAAATATTCGTTATTTGTATTGTCTGTGCGATTATTCAAAGGGATTGCTACAAAGTCATGGCCGAACAGATTTGCGACGGAGGTGCAAGGGAAGTCAATATGTCACGATTATTTACCAGTGTACACCGCTTTCACGTGGTTGTATACCGCGCCATTGAAAAGGGTCAAGAGATCTTTGAATGGCCAGTATTCGTAATCATTTGTTTGGATCAGCTGACTGCATGTGGGTGTGTTGCCGGGTTAGTGTCGCTCCTCTATTCCAGGGAGAACTCGCCGGGAGCTTGGCTGTATTTTATCGTATGGTTTTCTGTGTATCTCTTATTGTACACTCTTCTTGGTCCCTGTTGTCACAGCAAAGGATCAGGTACATGCAGCAGTTTTGTAATTGAACTTTGCAGATGAACTTCGGCGTAAACTTTGATAAATAATAGGAAAGAGTACAAATGCATATAACGGCTCATTGGAAAGCTATTTGACTGCACTTATTGAGAAAAGATATTACTTGCGCAGGCATAGCAATTTGTTACAGCAAACGTATAGGACAAAGCCATGATAAATTAAAAAAGCGAAGTACCTTTCGTTTTCGGCAGTGGCATGCAGTTCACGACCTCCTCTACAAAGTCCGTCGGAATACCACGGAAAAAGTAGGGGAAAGCTTTACACGTGCCAGCGTGGAAGACAAAATGGAAAATCTTATGTTTATTCGGCGGCACCAAAGTGTTGAACTGATCGCTGGACAGCTGGTTGCTGTCAATCGGTCTCTCCTAAAACAGGTGTATTTGAATTTGTTAATTGAAATGCATTTTTTGTTAAAAGATATGGGATCTGTATGTTTTCAAAAGTATTCTAGAAGTCATGCTGAGGTCAAAGCTTCTGAGAACATAGCTGTAAACGTTAAGCTTAATAATACAAAGCAAAAATAGGAATTGTGAAGGAGATACCAAGCTGGAATATTCTCGTAGACCGGAGCCGTGATCCTCTCGGCAATTCTCCTGTTTTATGGTTTATTGCAAATCGATCCGCAGCCCAACAGCAGTTGTCTGCCATTGGAGATACCAGCATGCGTGAATACCAGTTGGGCGGCCATTTCAGAGTGTAACTTGACCTTTCCGGGGTTACTCCATAATTTCTGATAACATTAGCCAATGATGCCGTATGCCTGATCGGAAATTCGGAAGAAGTATACATCGCTTGTCACTGCGAGTGATAACTTTATAATTATTACCACGCACTGATACTGCCGACTGCGTATTTTTGAGAAAATCGCTTGCTTTCTATGTGCTTAACGCCGTTACTTACATCACACATGCACAAAACGGCAGGGGATAAAAGGTGGCACTGGCACCTGCCACTGGCAACTGCCACTGACAGTGGCAGTTGCCACTACGCGTTCTGGCAAGCGATAAAACGTGGCAACTGCCGGAATTTTGAAACGTGATGGTTCTGCCATCCAACGATAATCTTTTTGTAAAGTACCTAAAAAATTCAGAATGAAGTAGGTCGCCTCTATACGATTAACCTCTTGCCACTTAACCGTGACAATGTAAGAGCAGTTCCTACTGTACGCCTCCTAATGCCATGAGAGCAGGAACGTTTTTAAATCCCAAGTGTCCTAGAAAACACCGCGTTAATCTTCGACGTCATAATCATCATTAAACGGCGCCTGCTATCGGGGCCTCATGGTAGAAGCAGGGAATCACAAAAACTGGCCGTTCAATACTCACGCAGTGAACAAGGGCAATCTACACGAATCGAATAATTTGGGAGGACCTAATGGATAAATGAATGATCACCTGTATCGCTTTCAGTTCCAAATAAACACGGCTTACATCAAATATGTTTAATAAACTATACGAAAACCAGCGAAATTGTAGTGTGCTTCGCTAAGGCACATGACAATGCCTCGGATGCGGATTGCTTCAAGCACATGAAGTTGCTGGTGCAAGCAACATCTCAAAAAAAGCTTTTATAATTATTGAAAAATTGTATAAATCTAAGAATTTGTAATTTAAAATCAAATAATCAAAGGCTCAACTAGAGCCACTGTTGTGTCGAACGCTGTTGTACAGAAAATCAAGCGCTTATTGTTCAGTTATGAATGGGACGGGACGTGACGGCGGCGTCGACCGATTTAGAAACAACGGCGGTCGCACTGATCTCGGCGGCGGCGGCCGCCGCACTGCACTGTGCATTCAAGTTTAGACTCCGCCCCATGCTAGCTACAGCAAGATAATAAGTACTGCCTGGAAAAAAGAACGGAGGCAGTTCCTGTCAGACAACAAACGGCACCGCGACATTTCGCCGCGGACAACTAGTCGCAGGACTTGTGGTCGCAGACACCGCAAGGCCATCTCGTCTCGCGACGTTTCGTCGCAGGACATTTCGTCGGTAGGACTTTACGCCGTGAGACTTTCCGTCGCATAGCCGTTTCGACGCAAAAAAATTTCGTCGCAAGGACATCTCGACGAAGCGACATTTCGCCCATCAGATAAACGATTTACTAAGCTGACTAAAAAGTCAGAAAAGAGAAAACTGGAAATCAAAACCAAACGAACAACCTAAGAAAACCTAAAACCTAAGAAATCAAAGAAACCTGAGAAACCAAAGAAACCTAGGAAACCCAAGAAACCTGAAAAACCTAAGAAGAAATAAGGCAACCTAAGAAAGTCTGAGAAATATTAAGAAACTTAAGAAAAAATAAGAACAAACATTAAAAAAAATTAAAAAACTAGTGAGAATTAAACACGGAAACTTAAGAAAAAATAAGAACAAACATTAAAAAAAATTAAAAAACTAGTGAGAATTAAACGCGGTTAATTATTTTGCGGTAATCAGTCGCATCGTTTGAAAAGTCCCAAGACGAATTGTCCGCGACCAGACGTCTTGCGTCAAAATGTCACAAAGGTAAAATGTCTTCGCGGCGAAAAGTCGCGCGTCGAATTTGAGTTGCTACAAAATGTCACACTCCCAATCGTCCGGGTGCGCAACAGGCACCTCAAAAGCGCTGCGCCGCACGGAATTTCATAGTTGTCTTGTTAACCCTTCTGCACGGTTTTAAAAGACATTTCTGGATGCATCTTTCACTTTATAAAAATGTGTATTTCACAGTAATGTTACTGGCGACTATGGCGATATAAATTGTCAAATTAAACCATCCAGGCTTCGACCAAAGTGTTAACCGTATTTTGTTACGACAGTTATGACAGGTTCATCGTTCAGCAATTAAGGGAAGTGGCCCGGTACATGGTTCCAAAGTCGTGGACATGCACCAAATCTTTCACTTTCGCGCACTCACAAACCTTTTTTCTCTCGTTTTATGACATTCTGTAGCCAGATGATTTGTATACACTGGCGTGAAACCGTTTGTGCGCACACTATCCGGTTCGGGCGTTATGGCTGTTAGAAAATTCCAAAATGTTTAAATGCTTTCAGGTGTACTAAAAGTCTGCTTATGGGTTGATCTCTTTCAGATTTTGCACG